GACTGGTATTCCGAGGAAATCTTTAAATGATGACCTGATGACCATAAACGCCCAAACGTTCGAAAATCTAACAACTATAATTATGTATTGACAAAAACCATAATTTGAAACACTTTGAACTATCCATTGTAATAAAGAATATGTTTTTTCCTACAGTTACCTGACAAAGTGGACTTCCTTGCACCATCGATGCCGTGCACTGATTAAGCACGCAAAGTAGCTAATTGCTGCATTTACTTACTTTTGCCGCACTCCAGTATTCCAACCAAACAACACAAAACAGTGTGTGTAAACGTGAACGCTTAGTTGGAATAACCTAAAAACGTGTTGTATAGTGTTTGAAAGACTAATTATTTATATGTTTTACAGTAACTGTTGGAAAAATATAATGTGTAACTATTTATTATTTGAAAGCAATATTACATGCTTGATAAATTGTAAATATGTTTAGAATTGTTTGTTGTGATGAGTTTCAAATACTTGTATGGTAATAGGTTATACTGTATACGGATACAGTATAAAAACGCCTAACAGAATCTTTTCCGCATTCTGAGTATTTCCAGAGTTAAACTGTGGGTTACAATTAAATTGTGCTATTAGAGCATACTATTAAGTTGCAGTAGTTACTTTATTACAACTAAATGGTGGATTTATTATTTTCAATACAGTACTTACAGAATAATCGTCTTCAAATCTTCTGGATTCGATTTGATTACAATAACACTACAATTAATTATTCGTATAAAATAATAAACAACCGGTGAACTCATTAGCACTGGCAGAAATGAAATGCACCTGGTCTCCCCACCGTTAATATCGTTATCTCTTGGCTTATCTTGTATATCATTCTTGCAAGGAGTTTGGTTTTGGTTTTATGTTATCAATTGATAACATTTCAGGTAAACATGCTACAACTCAGTCGATAACAATGCAAAATGTAACTGAAATTGACAAAGCAATCGATATCTACAGACGGTGACACACTATCGATCTTTTCCCCGAACAAGACCCCGAACCGAGCAGGGAGAAAGGAGAAGGGAGGTCGAAGGGAGGATGTTCGATAGTGTGTCACGGGTCCGTACACCGATCAAGACGCCGAACAAGACATCAGGCCGAGCAGGGAGACGAGCGCTCTGGAGGCGGTTTTTTGGCGAAAGATCAAAGAAAAGATCGGTCCGATGTACGATAGTGTGTCACGGTACATTTTTGCCCCGTACATCGTCGCGAGCGCCGCACCGAGCGGCCGCCTGCGCTAGCATTGATAGTTCCGCGCTCTCACTCGCACACACTCTCTATCCCTCTCCAAACTTCCTTTTGCCGCGCTCGGTAGAATTCGTCTAGTCTTGGTCATGTTCGGGGAAATGTTCGGAGTAAAATTTTGCTGATATTTATTTCCCTTCTCCCTTCTCCCTGCTCGGTTCGGGGTCTTGTTCGGGGAAAAGATCGATAGTGTGTCACCGCCTTACCGCGTGTTTCAAAATGAATGACCCGGCTTTATAACTTTTATACTACAGTATTAAACTTACCGCTATAAAATACACATCAAACGAAAAAGCAACTCAAAGAGTTTATGCCCAGGGCCGGATTTCCCAATAGGCCCGGTAGGCCCGGGCCTATGGGCGCAAGGTCCCAGAGGGCGCACGGCCGAGAGGAAATTTTTTTATACCTAGGCTATCTAAAAATAAAAATAAATAGCCAAAGTTTTTGATAAAAAAAAAACTCCAAAGCATTGTGATTCTGAAGTTAATAAGAAGAAATAATATGTTAGGAAATTTAAACTATTTTTTTTCAGAATTACGCATCATTTTTGTTACAAAATTGGTAACGAGCATTGGTTAACGGGAGTAGGCTGTAGGGATGTTGACGTTGACGAGCGCCCAAGGGGTACGCATCGTATTGCCACTATGCTGGCTCGGACTCGGCACTACTGATCAGAGTGATTAGGGGCGCATGAGTGCTAGACATTGTTACCACCCTCACCGCACAAAACAAAAGTTATTAACTAATATTTTGATTAGTTTACACCAATCTGCAGGATCAAGTTAAAATATATAATACGTTGTGTTGAATATTAATACAACGATAAATTTACCTTTAAATTTAACGAAAAAATATTTATTTCAGTTTGCGTTAGATTGTAGAAAAATTCTATACCCTCCAAAGCACCATTAATGCTGTCATTTTCTCCTCAGGCCTAAAGATCGGTATGGTTGGCCGGAATATTGCTCTGTTTTGCTTTGGAAATATATATCCTAGATGCAGTACGACCATAGATTAAATATAACTCCAAGTCGACTTCTTATGACATTGTTAATTCAAACTTTTTTCATGTCTTGTTCATGTTGGGGACACTAGACGTTAGTTTTGACGTTATTTTGTTTATATTATTTTAGGGTTAGTTCTATAATGTGTGTTTTAATTTCTTATAATATAAACAGTAGACGAAATATTTTTGATGATTAGATCGTTTTATTTTGGAAAACTAGGTTTAAACATTGATAAAACCTATAAAACATGCTTCTTAAATAACAAGAATTGTTTTCAGCTAATCAAAAATGATGACAAATCTACTTAAGGAGTATGTTTAATCTATGGTATCACGTACTGTATGGAGTTCATGTTTTTGGACCTGGAATTGGAATCAATGGCCATGTTTTTTTTGCAGGAATGCTCGGTGGGTTGAGTTGTTTTGTTTCAGTCCCATGGCCACAAACGTGAGCATTTTATTAAAAGCATAAAATTGCTAAAAGTGTGCTAAAATTTAAGACGGCATATTGTTAAGGCTAAACAAGTCAATAAAAAAAACTTGCAATGATTCCAACGTAGAGTGGTATTCAAGCAATTGACTTAGGCCTATGGACATGATATAGTTTTTAAAGAAGGAAAGTAACTGTGACCAGACTAAAGGGGCGGAAAATTATTTGGGCCTAGGGGCGCAAAAATGCTAAATCCGGCCCTGTTTATGCCTTCCAAAGACACATTATTTAACAAAATCGATCCAGCCGAACTGTAGATTTAATTGTACAAAGTTAAAAAGTAATATACAATTTCTAGTGGTAAAAAACGTTTACCACTAGAAATTTGGAGGTTGCTTGACGTTTTTGCAAATAACTTTTAAATGGTGAGGAAATCGACCAATCGTTGGTCTGGGCTGGTCTGGGCTGGGCGGCCGCGCTAGCGCTAGGTAGGGTGGTGTAGAGGGGAGTGTTTATTGCGCATTTCCAAAAACATCTGGCCCACACGGCAAGCCGTCAGTGCAGCGGCTGAGGGTTGTGGGCTGTGGGGGTGAGTGAGCCGTAGTTCTGAGGACGGCTAGTACACAAGGGTCCGCGACTGTATGATGTCGAGATTTGGAGTTACCCTGGCCAATTCAATCAGTAGATTTATCTTGTCTGTGATTTCGTCATATTGCTCTTCTCGTTACTCGTTTTAAGTTAAAGGGGTTTCAAAGTCGCCCCAGAGATTTTTTTTTCAAAATAGATCCAAGAATTCAAGCGAGTTCAAGTGAATGTTGAGTATTTCTAGGACGTCAATTGAAGGATATTGTTTTCAAGAAATAGAAAAATGGCTCTAGCTGAAACTGCTTTGATGTGCTATATAAGCTTCGTTTTGACGTGCTATTTATATCCATAAGGCTAAAAGTATTAAATTTATAACACTGTATTTACCAATTGGGGTTTTCCCATAGTATCACCCTGTCAGACAGCAGATATTGGCTGATTTCATTATACTTACTATTCTATAGTGTAGCATATTCTCTATCCTAATGCATATTGTGTAATACATTTATTCGTAATTGATTTCAACACTCAACACTAACCAACGTTGTTTGCAAATCGAAGTGATTCAAAAATATTAACACTTTTGCGGTGGACTGGTCATTGGGGGGGAATTCAGTGACGATTTTATGACTCATTACATAATATATAAATTATCATTACAGTTCAGAGTTTGCAAACAAAACGTACAAAAAACCTACGGGCAGAGTTCGACACCAATCATAGAATGTACAGATTGAAGAGTCTTTTTCTCCTTCCCCCCCGGCCAACTGCCCAATATTCGATTTTGTCGGAGTTTGTATGTGACTATTAGCTATGTTTTCAACAATACTTGTAACTGCTATGAGCTAGTAAGAAAACATGAGCATAGGAGATAGAATTGAACAGAATCATGATTTTTATACTTCAGTATATATTTACAGGTTTTGATTGGAACACGAATCGTTTGACATAAATTGTTCGTTAGATGTTATGACGTTTATCTAAAACTAGTTTCTGTAGATCTAACAACATCTTTACATGAATAAAAAGTTACAAGCATAATAGTAATGAACAAAATATAAACATGATAATAGTTAAGAACAAACTAAGAACATTATTAAAGTAAAACATACTAAACGAACTAATCTCTAATTTATCAGGAAACTGACAATACATTAACTTGAACTAAATACTAGAATACTAAAAATATTTGTATCTGTGTTCATGACACATAGGTTTAAAATTCAAAACACAACAAATCGGTTATACACTCGTCATAATAACACAACTGTAATATACATACATCTAGCGATGCATGTTTAATTTTTGCACTAACAAAGAAGTGTTTTAAAGGCATTCTATGCGATTTCAAAAAATAAACTGTCATCAATTGGCAATGTTGGTGGTTGATTTTTTGTAAAGCAAAAGATGTATAGCTACAAGTATTTACAATTAGTTTGTATCCGTTTGAAGATTTTTTGGTATTAATAAATACCAAAAATATTAAATAACTTAAACAAAAAGCTCAATCAAAATACTCAATTACTTTTATATTTACCAATTAGTTTATGATTTCATATGATCAGCAATACAAAACACTCAAGTAAATATATATATACAACACACTTTTATTGTATATATATACAATAAAAGGACTACAACACTATATTATGAAAACTGTTGTCGATTCAAATAGAATATTGTTATACAATTATTTAAATCTAACGAGGAGGATTGGTATCTGATATAATCCTGAATAAATTGCTGAAATATCAATTACATAAAGTTAAACAAAAAGACTGAAAAGTCAGAATAACAAATTATATTTGATATTAATAATAAATAAATAAACTTAAATATATTAAAGCCATCTGACCAGAGGTCTAATAACGTATTGTTGAGTTCTCTGGTTTAATCACTGTAACCAGATTTTACAAACTGTTTAAAAACCTTCAGTTATAGTTTCAATATTTTAGATTGAAAAAATAATATATACAAAAACCAAAACACCCAAAATGTTTTAAAGCTCTTAGCACATACCCATACGACATTTATATAAAACAACGTTTTAAATGACACACCACAATTCTTAACTGAATAGTGAATCAGTTTGTTCACTTAGGCTTTGTTCCAAATATATATGTACATTTGATACACGGTATGTTACAATGTATTAAGCACCGTCACCACTTGGTCCACAGCTGTTTGCCGATCCACCTGCTCTTGATGAGGTCCGACCCCTTCTCCGCGATCATGATGGTCGGGGCGTTGGTGTTCCCTGAGGTGACCGAAGGCATCACGGAAGCGTCTATCACCCTCAGGCGATCCACGCCGTGCACCCTGAGCTCCGGGTCGACCACAGCCCCGGGGTCTCCCGGAGGACCCATGCGACAGCTTCCCGCCTGATGGTTCTCCGGGCCCGTGTTTCTTCTGATGGCGCATTCCCAGTAGGCGTCACAGCCGAACGAGATGTTTTCACACCCCATTGCCGGAGTTCTATCTAGCCGGAACCCGTACTTCTGCAGGGCCCTGGTCTCGGACAGCCGTATACCGAACTTGATTCCTTCGATGAGAGTAGCGACGTCAGCGGGGTTTGTGAGATATTTGCCGAAGATCATCGGAGGCGACAGCGGGTTGTTGTCTCTGAGGCGGAGATATCCGCGGCTCTTGGGATGGAGGACAGCGGGGATGATGTTGACCTCTCGTTGTGGAGGGGGTCCCGTGGCGTTGGCGTCTCCCGTCCTCTCGCCGACCTGACCAGTGCGAGCGCAGTTGGCGAGAAAACCGCCAAAGAAGAACTGTAGATCTGGGTGATCTTCGGATGGATCCGCATACTTGGAGTTGACGAAACCGGTCACCTCAGACAGCCCCGTGCCGGACATCAGCCCGTCCCTGAACAGAAGGTACTCCATGGCAGTGGCCCAGTTGAGGGGAGTCGTCGAGGTGTCGTTGATAAAGAATCTGAGGAAGAAAGCGACGTGGTTGTGCAGGTTTCTACCCACTCCGGGGAGATGGTGGATCACTGGGACACCCACCTGAGTAAGATCGTCCTGTGGTCCGATACCTGACAAGAGAAGAATCTGTGGTGAATTGACAGCACCTCCACTCACCACGACTTCATTCTTAGCGAGAATCTTCTCTCTCCTTCCATCGCCTCTAACGACCTCCACTCCGTACGCCATCTTCTTGATGGGATCAACCAAGACCTTGGCGACAGTGGTGTTCAAGAGGATGTGCAGGTTAGGTCTGTCCTTGACTGGTCTCAAGAACGCTCGTGACGTGCTGTATCTGGACCCGTTCTTGCTAGTAGTCTGTGCAATTGCGAACCCCGTGTGTTGGGCACCGTTCACATCGCGGACGGGGTATCCCACCTCGATGGCCGCCTGGAGGATAGCGTGCGACAGTGGCGGATGGTAGGGGAACTGAGTGACGGGGAGATATCCTCCGACACCGTGGAAGCCAGGGTCCATGATATCAGCCTGTAGGTTGTCTTCAGATTTCAGGAAGTACGGCAGAACGTCTTGGTAGCTCCAGCCAGAATTGCCGAGCTTAGCCCAGTCGTCGTAGTCCTTCCTGGACCCCCTCATGTACATCATGCCGTTCAGGACACTCGTCCCGCCTATCACCTGCAACCAAACAGTCATATCACACACCTTAAAATCTTCGTGTCGATATTAGATTTTCGTGTTCGATTCCAAAGTATCTTCTGCACCGGTCAGGCCATAATAGACTATATACAGTATAAAAGATTAATCGTTCTTCGTATTAGCCGATTAGCCCTTCACGTTTAGGGATTCAGGTCTCGATTCTAGAAAATTGTTTGTTTTAGAGTTAAAAATATCGAATTTTGTGTTTTGTAGAGATTCCTACATAATTAGTTTTGAGGGTTTATTTCGTGAACAGAACTCCTCTTAGAGTTTTTAGCAGCTTTGAAGTTTTTTGTGTCAATTTAAAGAGCACACTCTGAAGCTGTGCAAGTTCCAAAATGAGCATAATAGCCCTCAAAGCTGCCATGTTAATCTTTGTAGAATAATTACATTGGAATTGGCTGATTTAATTTGTTTATTTCAATTTAAAGTATTTTTACTTTCACATGTGCTTTTAAATTAGGTATTTTTTTTATTAATTTATTAGCACACTGGCATTAGGGTATTCAATAATATGATTAAATCAAGCTTACAAGCTTCAGAAAGGGGGGTTTAAGAGATTTACTGACATTCGTGTTATTTTATTTTGAAGTGTGTCAGAGTGTATTAAATTAGTGGACGAGTTTTCAGCATCTGGTATAATAGTGATGAGGCATACTTTTCAAAATTACTCATTAATAGGCCTATGTCGAATATTTACAGGCGGTTCAAATATAAAACCGAAGAGTTTGGGAGATCAATGTTTGGTGGGATTCCTTTATTGGTGTTTGGTGATTTTAAACAATCAAGAGTATTATACATCGATGATCATTGTACTCTACCACATTCTTGATGATCGGCATATGATTCCAATTGCAAAACTATCGGTTACATCTAATCTTGGTAATATAACCATTTTATTTGCCGGCACTTAAGTAGATTACATTATCGTCAACTTTCCTTTAGCGTTCCCTCCTAAAGTTCATTCTGCTGAGTGTGATAATTATTTTTGAAATATCTCGGTTAACATCGATTAGGCGTACTGAAAATGCATGACGTGATATGGTCACAGCGGATTCCCCAGTTAGGGGAGGTCAGTTTGGTAACATTCAGGGAAATCGGGAATGAGAAAATCTCTATTCTTCTTACCAACCGCAACAGTGATTTTGAGGCACGACATTGCTCATTACTTAGTTCAATGCTTTAGATCTTGCTACTTCATAGGTTTCCGTAACTTTCCATTTATATTAAGTGGGTATTAATAACTTTGGTTAAGTTGTCACCAGTTTATTTGATTCAAATCGTCGTAGTTGATGCGAACCATCGACGGATTATGCTGGTATAAATTACCCATTTCTGTTGAATACACGAACTTATTTACCAAATCAAATTAATTGAATGACTTATTGAGAGCTAAACACAATATAAAACTGCAACTATTACGACCCATCAACTTGGCTAGTGACAAAAATAAGGCAGAAATTTAAGATACTAGCGGACTATGTGACTGGCTCACACAACTATGTTATTTTTTTATAAAAAAATCGCAACAGCTGGTCCATATAGATGGGATTACTACCTCAGTATCCAATAGTCAATCCTAAGAGTCTTCATCACCCCATAAAAAACGCTAAAAACATGTCTTGGTATTCCCCTGTTTCGGAAGCTATTTTCAAATATCAAAACTAAAATCATTTTGTATCAGTTAAAGCGGTTAGTAGTATATGTTTTCTGTGGTTAAAGGCTAGTTCTACAGCCCTGGTACCTTATATATTGGTTAAACGTAATTTTAGTATTATAAAAAAAATTTTAGAAGTATGGGAAATTCAATTACTTTGCAACGTCGGTGAGAATTTTCTGCGAACGATTTTAACATTTTGAGGTATGTTGGCCCTGATGTACCTATCCAACTAAAAGATTTCCAAGTTCCAAGACAATCGGTTGAAAAATAGCGACACAAACAGGGACATACAAAACCATCTTTTGCCTGATCTTTTGCCCATCGGCTGACGGAGCCCATTTCACTACTACCCATCTCCAAAACTTGGCCGAGTCTGCAGATGGCGCGGCGGCGGACAGACGGATGGGTCAAGTCTCGCCTGTCTCTCGTTTTTCTTAAATCTTAAATCTTAGATTTTTCTTAAATCTTAATTTCGTATTAACTATAGGAACGCCAGCAGTGGAGGGCAACGGTGATGGTTTCGACCAATGAGAGAGCAGAGTTGCGGGCGGCATCTTTTGTCCAGGCACCGGTGGCGCCTTCATAGGACAGACATGAGGCCCGACGTTTCCATCAAAACCCCGCACTGCGTTCAACTATCGGATGAGTACAATCGATTGTTCTACGTTCGATTCTACCGTACGTCCCCACCAACACTACACTGCATTCGAATTTTAGATGAGTTTATCGTTTATCGATAGGTGTTCGAGTAAGTTCCTGACGAAACATCGTCTTTTTACGTTTTAATTTTCCAAAGGTTCTCTCCAAAACTGTGCACTTAATTCAACTATTGGATTACTATCGGTTGTTGCATCGAATTAATTCCCACCAAACCCTGCTATGCTTCGTTTATAAGATAAATAACCGTTAGTGTGATTCATAACGTTTATGATAGATCTCATTAAACACGGCCATTCATTTGTTGTCCCCAATAATAACAAAATGTCGACGTTAAGGTTAACAAGATCAGGGGTTTAAGGGGGGGGGGGGGCAGTTAAAAAAACACACGAACTGTAAAAAATGACTCTGGTGTAGAAACACCTACACAAAATTTTTCAACATACAGTATCTTGCCGGAAATGCTGCATGTTCAGTGCAACTCTGTAGTCTGCAATGCATGTTTAGGCCTACATGTGTATTGCAATATTTATAAATAAATGACTTGTTATGGTATAAGTCCAATGGATACAACCAATCCCAAATTCTGGCATTTAAAGCCGCGTTTACACCAAAGTCTTCCACTAGCTGCGGAAACTAGTTGCTTTTTCAAAAAAATACAGCAAATTTATCTGTCGTCCACTAGTGGAGGGACAAGTCGTCCACTAAATTTTGGATTCCCGTGGAGAGTCGAGCAAACAAAGTTTACAACAAAAACAAGTTTTCTCTAGTTGCTCTAAATTAGTGAGGAGCATCTTTTGGTTTTCAACAAAAAATCTTCCACTAGTTTTTAAAATATGTGCAGAGCAACATTTAGTCGTTTAGGTTGTAAACGTTTTGTTGTCAACTTTGGTTTAAACGTGGTTTTACAATGCAAAAATGTACAATATACAAGACGTGATACCATACTAATACATTATTTAAAAGTTGTCATTATGTAAGTTGTCTTTTAGAATGTATTTCAAATACATGCACAACAGTCTTATCGGGAGTTTGCGGGAGCTAGCAGCAACTTCCGGTCAGGGCGGCGCCGTCTGAGAGACCTGGGACCGTTGTATTCTAAATAACTATGTTTATTCCCTGAAAATTTAGCAAGACTTGTATACTACATAGGGTGATTGTGAGCTATCTGGTAATAATGTATAGGCCTTCTCTAAATCTAAAATATTACTATAATCAAACTTAGGTAATCAGAAAAAATCTTTTAAGTGAGGGTTCTTTAACTCAATAAGATAATTTTTTTAAGTGATTTCAAATTTTTTTATGGTTATCAACCTAAATGTTATGTATTTACCATGTAAGTCCACAGCGTTGGTCTACTGTCGCAATGCATTGCCCTGCTACTCCTCTACAGTAGGTACTGATAGATTTATGGATCACTCACAGGTTGTAGTGACAGAGTTCTCATCGTCTTAAGCCTATATATTTCCTTCATCTCGTCATTTCAACGATTTGGCCATTTACAGTGATCTAATTGTGATAATGGCGGGCAAATGGAGATATTAAACAAGCAACTCAAATAGTACGCAACAAAATCCGATAATAGTAGCAGGAGATATGAACATAGGAACGTTATTTTATTTCCATTCTTATAGCTAGAAAGGGTGGGACTCAGCTGTCTTACAATACAATTAATTATGACCAAGCGTGCTTATAACATCGGTTGCATTGTTTTTATTCTAAGTTGCTGGTTTGTGTTCTTGCCTCACATTTCACTTACATTATTTCAATCTAGGTCTTGACAGAGGATCGCGTTATGATCATATAGCTAAAACAAACCCACTAGAGACATTATCATATTAATATATCTATAAGGGGCTATAAACAAGAATCCTAATATAAACATTTTTATTGTTATCCTCAATAATGGTCTATTATTAACCTTTGTTACTAACCTACTCATTACCTTTAATGTTGCAATAAAAATTTTATCACTTAACTAACTGGCAGAACGATAAAAAGTACATAACGCAATGAAATTAAACTTATTTGGTACATTTATTACTAAAGGCATTAAGTTCTGATACTTAAACGACAAATTGAAGCAATCATATCCACATGTATACGACAAATATAAATACATTTATCAACGAGTTAGTTTATTAATTAGGCCTACATTTTTTAAAATTATAAACTACGCACAATATCTCAAGTTTTATTGTACTCTCAGTACTAAATACCGTAATCCTTGGCGACGGCGCCTGACAGGCTTGTGGCGGAAGTCATTTCTGGGAAACTTCGATTATAACAAAAACATTAATCCTACATCCGGCGCGATAAGGTTCATTTTGACATGATAGAACTAGTCTTTGTTTGAAGTTCAGTTGGTGATGGTGGTTGTTCAAAGGTTTATTGCGGACATTTTTTTTTACCATCGTGATGATGTCCGCAATAAACCTTTGAACAACATAGTGCTGGTTCCTTCACATACCGTTCCCACCACTTTGGACATTATGGTTTGAATCTTAATTATGAAAAAATGACGTTGTGTTAAATTACTTCTTGATTTTTATTTTACGTGTTGATTACTATTGCAGGAATATAACAATTACGTCCTGCAACACATTCGATACATTTGCACTCAGGCAACAATTACAAGACGGTAAACTGATGTAAATCTTAC